AGATCATTATTAGTACTGAAATCATTCCAGGCGGTCCGTTATAAACATGTATCTATCACCTAAGAGCAGGATATCAATTGTAACCAACTTATACTTTCATCCAACAGTAACAGACAACAAATTGAACAAATTAACGATGTATTATAGATTCTATCAATGTCATGTATATTGAAGTTTACAACACATTCTATATTGGGCAAGATCTTGTTGAACGTGTGATTTTATTTCAACCTTAGGACAAATCATAGAAGTATACAACACATATGTTCAACACATACGGACTAATACACAGTAGGCCTACGTACGGTTCCACTTGCCTTATCAACGCGGAAACACATTGAATAATATATTATATATAGTATTATATTAATATATATATATATAATATATTTAAGTGTAAGATGTGGCAGCGGCAGCAATGTTGTTTGGCGGCAGCCAAGTGTTGGTTGTAGATGAGGCATTTGGACGGCACTTTACAAGAAATTGTCGGCAATAATAGGCTGAAATGAGAATATAGAAACATATAAGACTTTGGTAGTAAAATAGATTTCATAATTTATTTAGCACTATATTGTTATTGAAACGTCCAAGTGCTGTGACACGGAACGGAGACACAGCAAGTCGCGTTTTAATGACCTTTTGGCAAAAGTTTACTCCAGAATCTCAAGTGCATGACTTCGAAAGCGTAACTACGAACTGCCATGAGCACTTATTCGTAGACATAGGTCAGAACTTAAAACGTGTGGATATATGGTGCACTCTTAGTCAACCTGCCTCAGAGACACGGCCCACGCTCCATACACAAGAGAGAGAAATACGCTGGAAGCCATCAAACAGTGTCTTCCCCCCTCTCTTTTTCTCTCTTGCGCTCACTCCCTTCTCTACCTCCTGCTTACCATGAGAAGCGGAGTGTAATGCGTGGATGTCATTCAAACACAGCCCACGTAGCAGTTCTCTCAGCTGCTCTAGCACTTCTCTGCTGCGTTGCGTTTGGCTTCTATTTTGTTTGTTTTCCGATCCGCCACCAGTTCGTCGGGCATTCGTATGTAGTGGCGGGGCCCGTTCCTGGCGGTCGCGCTGCTGCGTGGTACTGTGACAGCGCCCTCATGCCCTGCACTCTGCATAAATGTAAGAGGGCATAACAACAGTAAAGCCTCTGGCATGCTTGCACTATTTCGTCTTTTAGAAAAGCTTTTTGCATTTTTTTTCGCTGAAATTCCGGGCACTAGAGAGAATGCAAATAAGCACGCGGAGTAGAAATTAATTAAAAATATCACACGGTTACTTCGCTGATAGGCGTCATGTCCGCCCCGGTACTATCGGAGGGTACGATGCGTTACGGTTCAATATATCGGAAATTAAGTAACCCTGTCGGGTACTATACGATATGATGCCTGCGTACCCTAGCTAGGGCATAGTCGCCACGTACCCTGACTTCAGCCAACCGTGATGTCGTAAATTACATACACTCTGTCAGTTATACGCACATCACATAGAAGAAACCTCAAAACATTAGCATCCAAATTAAAATGTATGCTATATGTTTGACATATATTTTCAATTTATTTTCCATTTTTTTAAAACGAAGAGCTAGCTTTGCGATATACGCAAGGGCTGAAAGTCAGGGTACGGTGGGGCACAGGGGCGCAAATCCAGGGGCGACAGGGGGACATGTCCCCACGCAACGAATTTTTAGAGGGGCCGGACATCTATCAAATCGTCGCCCCCACGATTTTGGTCAGCATGATTTTGTCGACGTAGATTACGTTGTGCGTGTGTGTGTGTGTGTGTGTCGGTGTTGTGTGTGTGTGCATGTGGTGTGTGTGTGAAGTTCTGAGAACCTTTTTAGTTGTGTGTGATAGTGCGTCAAAGATTTGGCTTATTTTGCCCTTTTTGCCACGCTTTCATTTTATTCCAAGCTGCATTTGAGAGCATGAATAATGATCATGCACAACTTAAGAAAAATTTGTCTGCATTAAATTTAGTACGTTTCTTTTTTTAACACGAATTTTTTCTTATATTAAAATAATTCTATTGCAGAAATCATCAAGAGAAAGTATGTTTATTAAGTTTAGGAAGATATCATTCACATTAGCAACAGCTGATTCAAGGCATTGAGGCTGGCAACAGCGAGCTATATTCACGCAAACGAGGACACGGAGTAACTGAGCCTCGCGTATTAAATAATGTGATTTTTATTGCAAATTGATGATAATATATACAAGCATATATGAATGACTGGACCAACAATAATAACGCGACAATATATATTTGTGATTAGCCTCAAACACGCTAAATGAACTTCGGTTTCTTCTCACGTTTTGTTTTCTTGATTTTATCAGGAGTAAGATAATAATAGGATCTGCATGTGGACACCCTGTTTTGTAATCTTATGACAAACCGAACTGTTGTGTGATGTGTGTGTGTGTGGTGCTGGTGTGTGTGGTGTTGTGTTGTGGTGCGTGCTGCGTGCGTGCGTGCGGCACCCCCCGTGTGTGTTGTTGGTGTAGTTCAGTGGGCGCTGTACGGGTGGGGAAGGGCGTCCCGAACGCAAAATTTGTTTTCCCAACTTGAGTCTCCAGACCACAGCCAATCAGCGCACTCCCATTCACGTCGACTTCTCGACAGCAACAATGTAAAATGAATAATCCTAACCCTAACCCTAACCTTACCATCTAACACTTACCCGAACCTAACACTAACAACTGAACCTAACTATAATCACAACCCTATACTATAACAGAACCATCTTTATGATAAAAACATCATCTTGCGTGGGTCCGGAACTCAAGTGTGGGGAAAAAATTCGCCGGTCCGGACAACCGCCATGATTACGCACAGAAAACGCATCTGAGGGGGTCTAATTCAAACATTATGTTACCAGACCCCCCCATCGCGCGTGCTCGCCCTACTCGTGGCCCGCCCCACATTCTCAAAATGGATTTGCGCGCCTGGTGCATCGGACAATGCAGGCGTACACGCACGACATATATCGATATAGTACCGCTGAAGAGTAGATACAATAATGTAACCCAAAAGCAGTAGGACTCCATCTCACACAGTCGATCTTGCGACACGCTAACACGTACGCATGATTGCGGTCAACGGGGACGCCTGCCTTGATTGCCGAGTGTGTGTGTCGTGCGCGCGTGCAGAGACGAGAGAGAGAGATGAGAGACGAAGAGAGAGAGAGAGATCCGAGAATGAGAGAGAGAGGAGACTAGAGAGTGTGTGTGTGTGTGTGTGTGTGTGTGCTGTCGTCGTGTGTGTGTGTGCTGTGTGTGAAGAGAGAGAGAGAGAGAGGAGAGAGAGAGATGGCGAGAAGAGGACGATGAAAGGATAGACGACAGCCGTGCAATAGTGATTGATATTACGGCAATCAACAGAGCATATACGGTTTGCGCAAGCATGCGTGGGTACGCAAGTCGGCGCGAATCATGTGTGGAGTGGATGTCCGGATCGCTCTAGCCTGGAATGGCTAGGCGACCAGTTCCGGACGCTCATAGCACCTGCGAAAAGATTTACTTTAATGATCTACGCGCTATTTGCTCCCAATCCGTGCACATTTACATATACACGACTTTCATTTGATCATCTTGTAATTTTCAAATGTAATATTTAAAATTAAATAAAAGCGTTTTTAATTTCGCATGAAACTTAGTCAATAAGTCATGTGCTTGCTTCAGATAGCGGGAGCTGTCGAGACGGTGAACGCAGCCTATTAGCCCTCTCAACACGCCTTACCAGTGTTTTGCGGGCGTTAAGTTGCCCAAATCTATAACATCATGGAAGATGGTTGGCTTGTCGGTAAATTTTAGACTGTTTATATACCTTCAGCCTTGTGTATTTTGATTAATTCGATCGATGCGTATGAACATTGGTTTGAAGGTGGCCCGTGAAGAGTCAAACTTGTAAAGTGAGAGCACCAAAGCACAGGAAAGTTTGCGCCGTTTCATAATTAAAAGTCGTGCCAAATTAAACAAGTTTTGTGATACATGTCTGAATGTTTGCTATACTATATAGTATACTAGTTAAATAGTTATAAGTTATATATGCTGAATATAGCTGCTACTAGCCACAAGTTCGCCTTACGTCGCTTACACTACCGTGCGCACTACGACGTGCAGTCCTAGCGAACTAGATACATAATGTGAACACCAAAACCAAGAGGATAGGGCTTAGCAAAGCCTCCCTACTCCTTTTTGTGCCGGAGGAATGCCCGAGTGAATCACTCGAGGCCCGCGGTTTGGCCTGGTGCGTCAGAGACTAGAACTTCCAGCTGGCGTTTATTCTCAACACGAACCTTGCTCCCGCTATCCGGAAACTTACTATGTATCGGCACATACTCCTGTATTTCTAAACTAATATAACCTGTTTACAAAAACATTCGAAGTGACGGAGCGGTCGAATATCCTGAGACCATTTTTCTGTTGACCTAGCTGTGACGTACTTCGGTTTGAAGAGCGGATTCACCGACCAATCGGAGGGCGCTGCGTTTGCCGATCGCTATGCGCATTGGGAATGCGTACGTCACAGGTCAACAGAAATGGCGCTCAGTATATTCGCCGCCTGTCACTTCGAATTTTTGTAACAGGTTATATTGGTGGTAACTCCCCCCGCGAAGTTTGTGGAGACTCCCCCTGCG